GGAGACCAAGCAAGGGCTTTGGGGAGAAACTCTTGCTTTATCAAGCCAGGTAATTCTTCCGCTGTAAACTAGTACCCTTGTATAGTAAGTAAGTAACTGCCTTACCTATTTTCTTTAATGAGCAAGACCTACGTATTCCTGGAGTCATTCCCCACACAAAGTATTTTAGGCCAGTTCATCTACCTATAGTGAAGTTTAACTTAAATTTTCAAGTACTTCATGCTAGAAAAGGCAGGCCTATGGAGCATGCAGAGCTGTGATTTTTTTTTTTTTTTTTTTTTAATCCCCTGGCTTCTCACCGCCTTTTGCCCACAAAGGGGAAAGAGATTTGTGCCCGGCAAAGCTGACTGCTTTCCACTGCCCTGACCCTGAGCACCAGCAGCACAGGGGAGGACCCCCATATAAATAAATAAATAAATAAATAAATAAATAAATAAATAAATATATATATATAGCTGGAGCTTGCAAGCTGCCTTAGGGGTGAGGGGTGGTGAGACTAAACCCACATGTTGGTAGCAAACCGTGTCCAGCGCACACCACATCAGTCTGAAACCATTCGTATTACTCAACGAGGCTGAGGAAAAAAAGCAAAATGTTCCTGTCAGAGAGTGCAATGTAAGTGTTGGATTACAAGACTGGAAGTGAAGTTACAAAAAAAAAAAATCCCCAACAAGCTCGTTGTCAAAAACGTACCCGAAATGGTTCTCTGATCCTCACCGTGATGATGACCCCTCCTCTTCCCCTCCTCCCCCAGCACCTTCAAGCCCTTTCTGAGGGGGAAACAGCTTCAGCAAATACTTTGCTCTTCGTTGAACATTAACTCACAGAACCAGCTTCCCTGATTAACCTTCTGATTACACCCTGTGATTAACTCTGGCCACTGCTAATGGGGAGGCTGGCAGCCTTCACTTTTATAGCCCGGGGATTTTGTGCGCCTTGTTCTGTGTATCGGGGTATAAGGTAACATTTGGCTAAGCTTACTCAAGATAGAAAAATGGCTTTGGACGTAAATGCCTCGTCTTTGACTTAATACAAATAATAAATGCTGACACAAGGTGAGCACAAAGCGCTTGGTGGCTGTGTAATTTTGTTGTGCGGGACCACATAACCAGGGTCCGTAACCCACGTCAAAAGCGAGGTGAGGTGCTGGTGTCCTGCCTGCAGGCTGCTCAGGTTAGATCGGCAGTTTCTACTACGCCCAGGAAAAAAGCTGGATGTTTGGCCTCAAGGAGAACTGAGGCATATTTGCATCTATCATTCCTCTTCAAAATGCCAAGTTATTTGTATTTCTTCGTGGTGAAGCATAAGGTGCTTGAGGCTAAGGTGCAGCACCCACCTGTGCAGGGTGCTTTGGTGCAGAACAAGCCCTGGGCTCAGGTGGAACCTGGAATTTCTATTTTATTTTCCCCTGGGTTTTGCTTGCATTATTCTGCAGGCACTGTGCTGAGGTGTACCCACTGCTACACGCACCCCTCGACAGCGAATGCCACCTTGTCCTGTGTAACCATACCTCCCTCCAGCCGCCACGGGCTTTTGCCCACCCCAAAGGGGAAATCTTGCGGTGGTGGGAAGGAACAGGGAAGTCCGCTCGGTCCCTGGGATCTTGCCAATGAGGAAAAGTCTGTGGGCAACAAATGACGAGGCCGTTTCTACTGGAGGTGGTGGGGATGTGTGTTTGCATAATAAACAGAAATCCATCTGACTTCCATCAGCAAAAGCTGGGGGTGACACAAACCACGAAATGTCCCTGGAGATATGGGCAGGCTCTGGGAAGGCACCATAACTAGCATGTGGAACGGGCTACTAAATATAGCACTGGAAGCTGCAATCAGGAATATATTTTCTGCAATGCTAACCAATTAGGGGGAGTGACATTAAATTGGCATTCGGTTTCCACCAATTTCCATATTGCAGCTGCTTCTTTTCTAGAAACTCCCCTTTTGTAGAAAGAACTGTTGAAATTGTGTGTCTGTAAGTGATCGTAAGTGCTGGTATTGAGATGGGGATGCTGTGATTGCACCACTGGAAAGCCTGTCAAAAGAAATATGGCCATCGAGGGCTTTATAGCTGCTGCTGAATCAATTACATACATTTTTATTTAGAAGTAGCATAGAGCATACTTCTCTTTTATACACTCATACTTCAATATATGCTGTTAAGGCTATTCCACAGCCAAAGGAGTACCTGCCACACTGGCAGAGGTCTGCCTGTCACTAAACGTCACTGGTCGACCGCTTTCCAAACTGGCCGGGAGGAAGGGGCCGGGTCCTCTGCTTGTGCCTCAGAGCTGTTCCAGGAGGACCTGACCTGCATCAGCCCTGGTTGCATCTGCCCCGCAGGACGGCGGCGGATTTCCCACCCTCATCTCAGGAGTTATCCTTCCGAGCCGACGGAAACAGTGCCGCATTCCAACGAGGACTAGGGATGTGTACCCTCTGTGTGCTTGCAATAAAAGCTAATTGCTCAGCTCAACCAGCAGTAGAACACCGTTGAATTATACTCAGTCTGTACCGTCTCATATTGTAATGACTAGTTACAGAATAGTATTTCTGGATGGGACCGTAGCTTCCACCCAGAAACAATGCAACGGCTGAGCCGTGCGTTTTAGCGACAAACTACTTCTAGCAAGTTTCCCCTTTCAAAGGCAAAATCTGTTTTAGACTGAAGGAGAATTCAAACCACACTGCTTTTAGCTATTAGCAATCACAATAACCTCTCAGGGAGTCTTACTTTCTTTTAATGTACAAGAACAGCAGTTTATGTTAATCAAGGAGAAAAACCCCAACATTTCATCACAGACTGTTTGGAGTTATGCCAGAAGCATCTGAGGATGAGGAAAGTAGTCACGCTCGGTGCTTTGATGCTTGCTGACAGGCACTATACCAGAGAAAAAGGCACAGCATCACTTTTTGAATTACAATGTTTGAATTACTTTAATATAGTATATACACTATACCTTCAAACGGACATCTGCAATGACACCAACTGTGTTTTGGTTGGCGTAGGCAAACATGAAGATATTTAGAGCCAAAGCCAGAAAGAATTTGGCTACCGTGGTGCGTAGTCAAACTTCCAGTTGCCAGAATAGGACCTGCAGCCCCGAGTTAAGCTGCTGGCCTGAGCACCGAGGGATGGGGTCCAATTCTGCCGGCAGAAGCCGGGCAGCAGAAGCAGCGATGTATGACCAGAGGAGGGCTGCGGAGGGAGGCCGGTGGCTAGGGATGCTCTCTTGATCATCCGAGTACCTTTCTTTATAATCTCGGCCATTAATAATCTTAAAAGTCAGTAACGGAGGCACTTGCTAAGCACTTTATGTACAAAGTGTGCCAGAGTCCACTAGGACTTCCTCGATATGCAGCTTCGGGTATTTTTCTCTTCGAGATTACAACAAAAGATGTAAAACATCTTCAAATATAAACTCTTCAACATTGGAAGATGTTTACTCCTAGGAATTTTACAAATAATTTAACAGAAACGAACCGTCCCTCTCCGCAACTCACCAACCCCAGGAGACTATGAAGTTGGACAGGGTTTGCTAACTTGGATATGCCAGGATTAACTGCATACCATAATGCTAATTTTTGACGATGTAGCTGTGGCAAGCTGTTTTGGAACCAAGGGCATTTTACGCGCATGTGAGATGAGCACCGACTCAGAGGACTGCCTAGCATTTTGTCTGTACGGTGCTTTTATCAGGTGAAGGTCTTCATTTAGGTGTTGGAGTCCCTTTACTAGTGTTATGAAAAACACTTCAGTCTCTAGAAAAAAAAAATAATCAAGAACAATTTAATTCCCTCTCCTCTTGGGAACGGGAAAGGCACCTTATGTGCTGCAATAAGATTAATCTTATCTGAGATCATTCCTGGAGTTACATGCCTTGTGGTGGGCACGACTTATCCTACTAATCACAGCACTTTCTCAGGATGGGCACTTACTTTCCAAGCCCTGTTCAAATGAACGTGCTGTGTCAACCTACATTGCGGGAGAAGTAATCTACCACTTCATGCTCAAGGCCTGCGGGCAAGATAATCACTCAACAGACACCTCTAAGCCTACCTGAAAGTGAATCACAAAGTACACATGGGAATTTTATGTACCTCGGGAGTTGACGGCAGTTGACTGGAAGCTGTAGTTCCTTGGTTGAAAGGACCAAGAGGTCCTCTAGAGACTCTCCAACAGAGAGAGGACCTTGGTCTAGATCTGCAATCAATTTTAGCAGAATGGGCCCCCCAAAAAGCATTTTTTTAAACTTTCAGTCTCCAAAGTTGAAATAGAAAAACCTGAACTGAATTCAGAGTATCTAAGTTACTCTGCAAGAGGAGCTACTGCAACTCCAGTTTCTACCACACTCCAGCATTACACTTCAGCACTAAAACTAATTGTATGTATACTCTACAGAATCCGCATTTTGACAGAGATACCTGAATGGCATTGGCAAGGCTTCGTATCATAAACTTCACCTGCTCTCATCCCTCCCAAGAGCAAGAGGGAAAGCACTCTGAAGTTCAGTAATGAAGTGGGTCCCTCGTAATCCTTCACCCATTATTGTATCATCCAGATAACTCGATGGGTGATGGGGGGGAGAAATTGAGATAGCATTTGGCAGGGGGAAATACTCCACAACCAGTTTCTTTTAAAAATTAATTGTATTTAATATTTGAATTGCCTAAGGCTAGCACTGCTAGACAAATTGCATGATGAATTCTAGTGGAATAAAACATGACTTAAGTACAAAAGCTGGAGGAAAAAATGCTCATGCTTTCCAGAGGCAATGAGGTATTTTACCTATACAAAGTCTGAATGTCCAAAACCATCTGCAGACCTTCCTCTTTGCACTGTCATCTTTGCTGAACGTTGGGCATTCAATAGTTTGCTCTTTCTGTGTGTGTTTTTCAAAAGGCCAAGAAAAAGTGCTTAACCATCTTTAAAGATGAAGAACTTCTTACATCCATCTTGCCACATTTTTTTGACTAGTAGCTTTAGAACGTTTGACTGCTTTTTCAAGCCATTCTGATATATGGTGGCGGTTTGGATGCGTCTTCCTCTGCATCTAAGTCCTGGGCTGGAAACCGATCTGGGAAGTCAAAAATTCTGCCCCCACGACCTGCGTGGGGAAGGAAAGAAGAAAGCATTAAACCTGGGGTAGACACTTGCACAAAATCCTGAGTTCCTTTAGGCTTGGAGTATTTTGGTTATCAGGATTTTGGCCTGGGATGTAAAGCTTATTCAGGATGTTCCTTCCACATCCCTGGTGAATATCCAAATACACGGAGGGAAAGAGTTACTCACTTTGCACAGCGCAAACCATTTCCACAGCCTGATTTTGGTCCTCACTAGGTTGCAACCATTCCTATGAATGAAACACTGCCATCACAAAACTCATCTGTGGGTTTGTTCAATAAGATACACTTGAACTCATTTTAAAAGTCTGTGTAGTCCACTCCTCCTAACAAGTTTAAAGCAGCCTCCCATTACACACTTGGTATCTTTAGTCAAGAACAGCTGCCTTGTAACCTGTACCCATTAATTCCTTACCAAATGAGATGGTCGGATGTACATGTTTAGTATAGCATCAGAATTACTCCAGTAACAGTAGCTGATATTTACTGAGCTCACTTAGCAGACACAAGCAGTGTGTGTCTCATCACTCAAAGTACAGTCCTCATCATAAATTAGCACTAAAATGTGGTGAGTCGTCTCCCCTACACTTCACACACGGTACAGGGGATATTTTTATTACTGAATGTGTAGTTCTAGGGATAAGGCATCTAGGTGTGTAAGTACCAGTAAGTATTTGAAATGCTGTACCAGCAGCAGTCATTGGTTTAAGGGCAAGAGAAGGAGGAACAGTTTTTGAGGAGAGCAGGAATTCATGGGAGATGGGACCACAGTGGTTTCAGCGCTAATGGTTTGGAAAATTGAGTTAACTTATGCTAGTTCTTACACAAGACTGTAAATAAGAGGGAGGTAGTAAAAGGAAAAATACTAAAAGCATAAAACACTTCTAACATCCACTTAATTTCTTACAATTAGCCCTGGATGACTGAGGTAGAGCTGAGGCTAGGTTTATAGAAGAAAAACACATCTTCTCCCCAGTTTCCCCTCCCACCCGCAGTCAGTACAAATAAATGGGTGCCTTGGACTCCTCACTCACCATCCCAGTTACACTGTCGTAGCACGAGCAGCGTGGAAGACTCCGGCATCCCAAGTAAGCCATCACGAGCACAACAAAAGCACTGCAGATAGATGCAGCTAGCATGGCTACGTTAGCACCTTTGACTACTTTATTAAGTACGAACTTCTGCAAGCAGAAAAGGAAATGTTAAAGCCACATTGAAAAAGTGAAGTCCTCCACCAAAAAAATATTCTAATGACTGCAAGAATGCTGCGATTGCATCGTAGGCGATTGATTCAGAGTCAGTGTTATTTAAGGCTTTTCTTCCTGTGCTCTGAAGAGCAAGCCAAGTGTGAGCCTCAAATACGAAAAGAGCAAGCAGGAAGAGAAGGCTTCTGGTTAAACAGAAGATGCTATGCAATGGCGTCAGGTTTGGAAATAGCTTTAACAATGAACAGAAACCCAAGGAACGGCTGCTCCTCTTCACCCTAAGTATGGGAAATGTCTTCTTGCTATACTGCACCTTAGCAGCCTGACAATTCGATTTGTCCTGCAATAAACTAATGAACAGCTTCATCTACCTGGAATGTCTTCATCCCTACAGGGAGCCATCGCTTGTACCAGGTCTGAGGTACAAAACGGCTAACTCATTCCTTCTTTTCAGCTTTACTGTGGAGGGTACGCTTGAAATAATACCCACTTTTAACCAGCTGACCCGTAACTGCTGTAACTTTATCACCTGAGGTGCATGCTGGAAAGGACTCGAGCCTAGCAATTGCCATCTCAAACCAGGGCAGGGCTACGGCCAGCAACTACCCCTTTTCACGAGCAGCACCACGATTTTGTCCTGGCACAACCCAAACCCTTTCGTACTCGGCGGTGGCAGCAGTTAGCCCGACCGTAGCGTGTTTAGGCGCATACTTCGTGTGCACGCCTCCGGGGACGAGCTGTGGATCTCAAGCAGCTGCTTCTCAGACGGGGCACCCAGGCGAGCTGGGCGTTAGTTCACGCAGCCACCAGTACCAGCCACGCTGCTGCAGCAGCAGCGACCGGCAGGAGCTAGCTACAAAACGCCTATCTAGCCCTGCATGGGTTTTGTGGTTTTCAATACCTAGCTTGATACTTAACTGTAGACTTATACAATTTTTTTTTAAACAAGTGCCTTGCTGCAGGCACCGCTTCAAACTCTAGTTTAGGCACCCTGGAAGTCTGGTTCTGCTTCCAAGTCATGCCTAGTAATGTTTGCAGATTAAGACAGTCGTGTTCCCCAGTAATAAGCATGGTATCGATACTTACTGTATGGATAACATGGACTGGGGCAGAGCTCAGCTCCTCCTCTTCACCATAGTTCAGCGTGAAGGAGCTATAAACTACTACAATGAGGATGGCAACACAAGAGATTATGGAAGCAACTACCAGCACGTTCACCTAGACAGAGAAATTAAAGGAAAAAAAGAAAGGGAGCAGGAATTAAAACTATCCTCTGACAAATCAGTGCAACTAATACAGACAATATGTACTAACAAGCATTGTAGGTACTAGCCTTTGACCTCCTGTAACGCTAAGTACCCGGTAGCAACAGTCACTCGGAAGCCAAACACAATGCAGTAAAGGTTTCCATGATACCAAATTTCTAAGCTACAACTGAGTCCCAAATCTTAACCATGGGTGCTAGGTGGACCCAAAGACATTGTTCTTAGAGATCTCTTACTTATAAAAAATATCCCCCCCCCGCCCTTGGAGGTTACATGGCTGGAAAGACCTGCCGAGGAAATGCAAGTCAATTAACTTGTTTCCTATTTTAGTGTACACAATTCTTAATAACAGGAAGGAACACCAAAAGAAATGGATCCAAAAGCAAGCGTTTTCACAGATTTTTCCTTTTTATTAGAGCCAGCACTTGCCTGCTGCAGCAGAAAGCGAGGTAATGCTGCACCCTCCTTTCGCTTAGGAATGTAGGAGCTTTTATGAAGATAACTCAAGAAAACAAGCTCTCAATCCTGCAGAAGGACCGGCCAGCTCATTCCCTAGCAAAACCGTTTTTGATTGCCCAGACAACATTTTGCCCCCCCCCTCTCCCCAGGCTTACAAGAACTGGATTCTTCCTCTGAGAGGAAAACAAAGCCAGGACGCCTGGGACTCCCATCACCTGCAGAGCACAAAAGGAGTTGGTAACTGGGAGACAACTATCGGATTCAGATGATAAACTACTACAGAGCAGATGAAAGGCTCGGAGTAACCGTTAGGTCAGAAATGGAAAGAGAATTGCTGGTTTCTTCTGTTTTCCTCTGCAGCATCTCCTGGGGGCAGGACACTGTGTGAAATGCGTCTTGCCCTCTCGCCACCCCCACGGCAGCAATCCTCCAACTGCCTTTACGGCTCTGGCCAAATAATAAAACTGATTAAAGTGCTAAAAATGAGCACTGCTTTCCCAAGTCCTTATGCATCTCGTAGATGGAAGAAAGATATTACTGAAAGGAGAGGAGCAGCCTCTGGATGGAAGATTGCTCTCCAGTACAACTCCCTTGCGGCACAGCTCACCCGGGTACGAACAGTAACGTCAGGGTACAGAACGCCCGGCAGTGAGGATGCTCGCTGCCCGCTCCTCGTTGCGGTACAGAGGATTACCGGCACTGTGGGATGCAGATCGTCACCCAGATGTTCATCCGCCTGACGTGAGGATGGTGTGTTCCCCTCCTAATCTCTGGTGGCCTCTCTGTGGTCACCATGTTTCTGCAAAGAGCCCTGCCAATTGCCACTACGCCCCATTTTCTACATTATCCAGTAGAAACGTATTTTATTTAGCTCCTTCAGAGGGAAGTCTGCTTGTACTCTCCTGGCTATACCGTGATAAGGAAACTTTTATTATCTGGGTTCAAAGCAGGAAACCAGGGAAGAGCTGACAAGAAGTCCTGGCCTCCCTCCCACCCCCAAGCTGAGTACTAGTAGGTAGCCAGCAGAGAAAAAAAACAAAAACCAAAACCACAAATCAAAGCATAGAAAATACAGTGCAACTTTACCATCCCAGCCCAAATTGGAGCTCTGGTTTTGCCCAGCTGAGACTCCGTTCTGAAAATGCCATCTATGAACCCGCTGACGACGCACACCGTGCTGAAGGCTATCTGGAACAGACCCAGCACGACCATGTTCCTCTGGTTAAAGATGAAATATCGATAGCGATCCATTCTGCTTTGGTTCACCCATAAAGCCCCGCACGCGGAGACCGGAAAGCCGCGCCGTGGCCCTCCAGCGATGGGGAAGAACAGCTTGTCCTAAGGCAGGAGAAAGAAGGGACAGGAGCATCGGCGCTCGGCCAACGCCGGCTGGCGCGCCGGGGCCCCACAGTACGGCGGGACCCCCCCCCCAGTTCACCGGGAGTACAGAGTTCGATCGGCAGCAGCGAAAGGTGAGCGGTCTTTTGAGAAATGCCTCACGCCGCTGCGAGGCAGGGGCCTGGGACACCGTTTCTGGTGGTTTTGGACAGACACCGTTTTTGCACAGACACCGTTTCTGGTGTTTCTGGACAGAGATGCCCAACCTTACCCCGCTGCCAACCTTTTTCCCCCTCGGTGTTTCTGCTGCCCAGAAAGGCGCGGGGGTTCCCTTGGGTTTTGTTCCTTTTTCCCTCGCCAAACGCGCTTCCCCGCCGCCGGCTGCTACGACCGAGGACACCGGCCCGGGCCTCCCCGGTGTGTGTCCCC